TTATCAGTATCATCAGTATCATCATGGTCATCATCATTCGAGGGTCGTTAAGCCCGGTTCTCAGCATTTTCCGTTCAATCACTCCGGGCAGACTGTGAGGACCCCGGCCTCAATCTTATTATTGGAAATATCAGCCTTGGGCGCCGGGCCCGTTTAAAAAAAAATAAAAATAAAAAATAAAAAGTTGAGGAAGATGGACGGTTACTACTGACAAACGTGGAAGCCATGCTTACACAACACAAAAACGTGGAAATGAACACTTCTCTAAGTCGGTCATAAATATATATAGCCCTCGAACAAATGGAGGATGAGAAAACGCCCGACCTGGACTCTTTCCTGAAAGAGTTCTGGCTGGCCTGTTGGGGGGTGCCGGGACAAGATCTAAAAAAAAATATAAATGCAGTTCTCGTAGACAATACCGTTGAAGGCTGCTAAACCAGGGGATGACCACTCTCCGACAGAGGTCAAAATCCTTCTTCACAAGTCAAAGGGGTGGCAAACGCCATGAGCTGCGGCATATGCTATAGAAAGGGCAGACATCAAGATCACAGTTCTCTAAATGGAATTTGATTGTACCGGTGAGGAAAAAGGGAGGGAGATGAGAAATTGGTCTCTCCCCCACAGATAGTGATCAATACGGAGGAATTACACGAAGGGTACGGACCATGGCTACCGCGGACCCGGACGCCGGACCAATCCGGACCTGGACCACCGGTCAGTCCGGTTGTGATCTGAACGTCCGCATTCCCGGACCGTGCGGACCATGTCCGGATCTGTCCGGATGGTCTGGATCATCATGTCCGGACTGGTCGGGTTGGAAAATAATTAATATATATATATATATATATATATCCCTCCCCCTTGTTCCCACCCTCCCTCCCCCTTGTTTTGAACCTCCCCCCCCNCCTCCCCCCCCGCTGCCCCCGTGTTTTGAACCTCCGTCACCCTTCTTCCGCACATTCCTCCCGCTACTTCCCACCCTCCCTCCCACTTCTTCCGAACCTCCCCCCCGCTTCTTTCGAACTTCCCTCCCCTGTGTTGGCGATCCTCCTCCCGCTTCTTTCGAACCTCCCTCCCCCTTCTTTCGCACCTCCCTCCCACTACTTCCCACACGCTCCCCGATTCCATGTATCGCGCTAACTTACATGACATGTTCCATGTATCTCTTTTGCGCCCCTTCAGACGGTCTCCTCCCGAGTTCCACGGTCGACCTTACCCTCGCCCCTCTCCCATCATCATTGAGGGTCACAAGGAGTTTGTCGTCTCTGATATCGCGTCCCGACGTACGACTGATGGTGACCCTCCCCGCCTCGAGTATCTCGTTCGATGGAAGGGTTACCCTGACGAGGAGTCTACTTGGGAGCCTCTTGAGCACCTGAAGCATGCTATGACTTTCGTGCGTGCTTACAATCGCGCTCATCCTTCCCTTCATCATTCTCCCCCCCTACTTCTCGTCCTTCTACTACTGACCCATCTACCTCTGCGACCACTAACACCCCCCGTCCTCCATCGATGGGTCCTCCTGCTCCACCGGTACCCGCCTCAGGTCCTCCTTCCCCTGTAGATGTGGTTCCGCCTGTTGTTGCAGTTGATTCCTCTCGCCCTCAACGTACCCATCGACTTCCTTCTCGTTATCGTGACTAATGTATACCCCCTATATGCTGTCAATCTTTTACTGTTCTTGGACACTTATGAGGCAACTCCTGGTTTCCGTTTCTACGTTCAGCTTCTACATTCGGCTTCTACATTCGACTTTCGACCTTAGTGCTTCTCCTCAGAACCAGAGTACCTATCGCATTGTTTCAGACTTCTACTCGGTTTTTGTGGTACTCCTACTTCATCCAGGCTACTTTGGTTCGACTTCTATCTGGAGACTCATCAGTTGAACTACTTCACTTTATCATTCCCACCTATCCACCACCCTCAAGCTTACCCTTCAGTCGCATGATGACCCCTATTTTCCCTGTCTATGTGGGTGTGTCCGTCTGCCGCTTCTCTGCCTTACCGTATGTTGCGCGCCCTCCTTTGGAATGTACATTTTCTTTGCTCGCGGCTCTCGGCAACACCCGTTGCCTCTGCGACGAGCTTCGTGCGCGGACGTACTATGGGCACAACCACCCGTTCGGGAGGCCCCCGAGACTTCCTGTCCCCATAAAAGGTATCGGTGACATCGCCAAGCCAGTGCCTCCCGCAACCAAGACTGACAACTTCGAGGGGGCAGCCGGTTCCCTCAACATGTGTGTTTGTCCACGAGTTCGTCGACCTACAAGAAATATCACACCATGTTCGACTACAATAAGCGTCGAGTAAGACATCCACCGATAGCGTTCAACTGGCGGCTAACAACACAACTCCGCAAGAGTAACGAAGCAAACAACACTTCATGAACGCCAGCGGTAACGTTTAGTTTGCGGCTGTCAATACAACTCCCTAGAAGCAACGAAGCAAACAACACTTCACGAAGTCGGGATTACGAGCGGGAAGCAAGCTGAGAAATTCAGTGCTTACCAGGCTTAGCTTCCACGTCAGCGGAGTCCACCGATGGTAGTCCCAGCACGATTGCCGACCCTCTGCGCGTCGACGCCGTGATGACGTGCTCCAAACCACTCGGAAAACTTGACAGGTTGGAGATGTCGGCATCGACGATCGGCGACGGCATTAATTCCTCCCGATGGCGCAAATCCCCCACTTCCGCGACGAACAAATTCATTCCGCTCTTCTCCAGACTAAGAGCGTCGATGTCCACAACATTGACAGGTTGTGTTTTCTCCATTGCCCCAGCGTCGTATTGTGTTGGGCTCAAGGTTCCGCGGATGTCGAACAACACTTCCTCCCCCCCTAACTTGTTGTCCTCGTGCGCTGTGTTTTTGTCGTCGTCACTTGAGTTGAACAATTTATCTTCAACAACATCAGAGGCCTTTTTCACAATATCCTCTCTCATAGCCACGTCGTGAAGGTTGGAGTACAAGGGGTCCTCGTAACCCGGCTCGAGTCATTGGTCCAAGTCGACGGCCCGCATCTCATTTCCGGAAGTGTCGCGGGGCATGCTCACGTCGCCGGGTTTGGGATCAGCCCGGTCATCGGCGAGATGCAGTGGCGAGGACCCGTCCGCTTTGTCGAAAGCAGTGACATGTCCACAACCCTCGACGCCTGCCAGTTCGAATCCATCGTTGGTGTGCTTCGGATGCATCCGAATTACGGCCGTCTCCTAAGCATCATCATCGAGGGATATCCTCACATCGCCCGGGATCGGATTCATCCATGCCCCAACAGAGGCCGATGGCGCGGACGTGTCCGCTTTCACCGCAGAGTCGCTCAAGACCGTCAACGAAGCGCGCACCGTAATCGGGCATTCGTCTCCCAGTGTGAGGGAGTGGACGTTGGAATTGGGGGCTAACTCACCCGCAAGGGAGCCCATGGCATTTTCTCGAACACCGACTACGAAAGACGGACAGTCTGCCTGCAGCTCCCTGTGGATTTCCATGCACAACATAACGGCGTCCTTACACTGATCGACTGGCACTGTAGACACATCCTGATTCGGATGAATCCGAGTTTCGCCTGCAGGGTGTTCATAAACCCGGACTGTCCATTCGGGTTTTGTGGACCGCTGTGCTCTCTTGACGATATGGGCTCCAAGTTCGAATTAATCCGAACTTCCTGATGTGGTGAAACGGAAAACGATTCTAGCTTGTTGCACACGGACCCAAGGTGTGTTGTCATCACGCTTCCCGCAATGCACTGTGTTTTGGACATCAACGTCGTTACCGTGGGTCGGATTGATCCGAGACAATCCGCCAATTGAGTCTGGAGCTGAGTTGGGCTGGTGCCATCCTTCGCAACAACTGACCCGCCAACCTTATCGATAAAATGTGTCGCACTGGTGGAGCTTATGATAGAGTCCTGCTCGCCAGCCCGCGGCGTCCACCCAGGCCTGAAGTCGTTGCCGCACCGTCCTCATCGCCGTCGACGTCGGACCCCTGGCCGTCTCCTCTGTGATGCTTTGTCTTCTCTCTGCTGCGAGGCTTTTTCTTCTCCCCGCTGCCCTTTTTCCCCTCCCCACCGCCTTCACGCCCAGCAGACCTATGTCTCGTCGAGCGTTGTTCAGTACCTCCCCCGGTTCCGTGTTGACCGCCAGCCTGACCATCCCCTCCGTCGTCCTTTCCGTGAGACTTGCGCACCACAACTTCAGACGTCGGGGTGATCGCAGGCAACTCCCAACTCACTTGATTCAACGACGGGCTCGACGAAAAGCTGTAGAATGCGGAGGATACTTCCAATCATTTATTTGACTGCAATAAATCGAACAACGTGTCCGCGTATGCCCGCAGAGCAGGGTCGTCTTTGGGTCGTCGATTGACCTCAGCCAATTTTTCCAATACCGCCTCGTAAGCTCGAGATTTGAAAGTATTAAGGTCCCAAGGATCGTCATATTCCCAACCTCCACTCATGTCCCTCACAGCCACTGCCCAATCACCGTTGAGAAGGACTGGCTGGAAATGGTCAGGGTGCCACACGATATCATGGCCCCAATCTTCGGTTTTGGAAAAGGTGTGTTTGTCGCCCATGTGGTAGGGTTGTGCAGGAGCCGAGAGACGTGGATGGTCAGGAGGAACTGGTCGGCCGGGTTGAAGACGTTCGGGGTGCGGTGTGAGACATAGTGTCTCCACCGGTGAAGTCCTCAGACAGGACAACCCATCCCTCTTGACAGGCGTTGAGGAGGACATGGGTGTGGGACCGCCTGAGGTGGGTGTAGCGAGCGGTGTCCCCGGTTTGCCTATGAGGGCGACTCAGAAACGACGTGGGCGTTGAAGATGGCTAATTGGCCGTCGAAATAAAAAAGGACGTCCTCAACGCTCTCCTCTTGCTCAGTCTCGATATTAAAGTCATCGTCCTCACCAAATGTCAGCCTGTAGTTGTCCAATGTGAAGTTGGCTGGATCGACCACACCTTCATCGAAAAAGACATATTCCAACCTCTTCATGAACCCCACTGCGCTGGTGCGACTGGCCCCGTGGTAGCCCTAGAGGACTGCAATGGCGACTTCCTTTCGCATCACGAACTGCTCGTCTACTCTCCAGTTCGGTTGATGGCCGAAAAGAAAGGAGTACACCTGGCGCCTTTTCTTCGAAGTCAACTTGAAGAACATGTCCTTATTCGGGTCATATACTGGCTCGACGACGACATGGTGGAAATCACACGCGTAAGCCCCAGACTGGACTTCATGGTGAATAAATTGCACGGTATATTCGAGCTGCGTTGAGTCCCCCTCCAAGGCCAAGACGTGCCATCCCTGGTGAAGCAGATTCCACACCACCTGCGCGTGCGGATTGCCCAAGAACAGCACAACATCCGCCACACCACAGAAGAAAATAAGTTGACTGTATAACTGATTAGGATTCCTCTCGAATTCCTTGTACACAACCCCCCTCTGGGTGAGGTTCCCAAAGTCCGCGAAATGCAAGGACTTGAAAGGCTTCTCCTCCACATCCATGGGTGTGACTTTCTGCTTCCTCCGGAGAGCGACGACATCGTCTTCGGAAACAGTTCCCTCGTACACCGGATGTGTCAGCAGCTGCGGATCGTCGCCTTTGAAAAGGATGTGCATAACATCCGGCTCCTTCCACATGCTGTTTCCGAATTGATGCGTCTTCTTCGTTGGCGTCTTGCGAACCCACTTCCCCGTGTAGCATCGGGTAGCCCCAAGCGTAGACAAAAATGTCATGAAGGAGAGGTTCCACAGGTAGGGAATGAATACCACCAATGTCCTGTAGCCCTCACAAACGATGCCTAGGAACTCACTGAGAGACGCGAATGCTCCAGAATCCCAGCGCGACCGATCCACAGTTCCACACAAGTCCAACACGCAAGTGTGGGAGCGTAACTGATGGCCCATTTTTCCCAGTGCGCCCTTATGGTCCATGGCATTCAATGGGTCGACGACGAACGGGGCCAGCATCGTCACGACGCTTGTCCTCCTCGACAAAATGTTGATGCATTCATCAACGCCCCAAGGGCCTTTTCTGCTTTGTGCGCGGTCTCCGGTGATCACCGACAGCACCACACGTTTCCACTCCGCCGGGAAATACGGGTCGTTAACGAGGGCAACGGTTTTCTTGACGTTGCTGTCATGTTGACACCCTAAATACTGAGGGCACTTGTTGACATAGGTGTTGTCGTTGAAGAACTTTCTGCTCTCGTTCCAAAGCTTTTCGTCGAGACCTTTGTCCGCGTACTCAAACAATTGCTGCTTGGACCTGAAGAACGAGGATCTGACATTCCACTCCTTCTTCTTCATTTCCTCGTGCTTGAACTTCACGTAGTGCCATAGCCTCAGCATAATCCGGTCGATTTTTATTATGTCGACCATCTCCGTCACACTGTGCTTCCCCTGCTCGGCCAACTTATTGCTACTCGATTGAACCCAGACGGCGGTAAGGTTCAAGACGCCGTTTAACAGCCTTCTCTTCTCGCGGTCCGTCAAGTCTGCCAATTCCTTCCAGCAGTGGATATTCGGCTCAGGAACTTGGACGTAGTAAATTTTCTCCTCCGCACCCTTTTTTGGCTTCCCCTTCCCCTGTTTCAACGACGGGTCGTCCACCTTAACCTACCCGACGTGTTTTTTCAGTCCCTGGTTGTCAGTCACAGTGGAAAGTCGTGGCTTGGCCACCTCCTCATGGGTCGACGACTTTCCAGTCCAACGTCGCCCGTCGGAAGCCAGAAGTTTTTCTTTTCACCACCCCTCGTAGAACTTTTCCGCCAACACAAAGACCGACTCGTCAGCCATGGCCAGTGGGAGATAGTACCGAAGTTTCTCGGCCCATTCCTTTTTCTCTTTTTCTTCCGTCGACAGGCCCCACAAAGGGGTGTACGGCGTCTTTTTCATTGCCAAGACCATGAACTGAGTCCATCTACGCACCTCCTCCTTTTTCTTGGATGCATTGCCTAGCACGACACGCGGTATTCCCTTAATTTTCCAGATATTACGAATGTCCCGCATGGATAAAATCTGCAACCTCGGTGGATTCTTCTCGTCTTTCAGGTTGTCTTCACAGCTGACATGGGCGTAGCCGTCGAATTCGTCGTAAGGGAAGTAAATTGGTCTGAATGGCCATTCACAAAAGTTGTAGTAACCGAACACCGCATCGTCTTTCACCTTCATCGCCGCCCTCGCATTATGCTGACCACACACAGGATAATACCAGTACTTCTCAGGGTGCGAGGCGTCGAAGTCTTGAGGCAGCACGCGCACAACAGGTTTTTCTTTCTTTGGTGGCGCGACGATCGGAGCCAGAACTAAGATCGACTTTGTATATCTCATGTCTTTACGTTCGTAGCAGTCGCGATGGTGTCCACGAGGAACGCGTCCAATGATTGATGGTTGTACGCATCTTCCCATTCTGGAATATGCAATATTCTTTCTAGATGAACGTGCAACACGACGTCCCTCTGCACCCCCGTTTTCATCTCCAGGAAGAACGCTTTGTCGAGGTTAAACGTGTTTAGGTTAATCTCCACATCGTCGTCCCCCTCCCCGGTGTCGCCCTCATCTGGTTTCCTCTCCTTCGTTGACTTCGACCTCTTCCCGGAAGACTCCCCGGTTCTTCGCCGTGTCTAAGGCTCTCGGGGCGTATCATCTCCACCGCCAACCCTTTCCCTCTTCTCAACGGAGTCGCGCTCTTTTGTCATCGGCGTTCGAGCACTCCCTCCTTCATTTCTTTGCCTTTTATAAGCCGCTGCTCCCTCCCGCACCTCCACAATTGGCAAGATGCGCTTGCCTCCCGACTGAATCGTCTCCGACGAGATCTCTCGAGTCGCCCCCAGCCCGAGCAGGTCCTCGTCACCAGCGACGTTCCCACCTGCTTCCCGACGAGGGTTCGCCTCCGTCTGTAGACGCACAGGAGCAGGGTGGACCGACAGAGTTGTCTCGTCTGCCCCACGCACCTCTCAAACCTGCAAGCCACCCGGCCGACCAGCCGTCGACAACTCCGCCACCTTCTTGCCACGAACGAACTCACTGATCCTTTCTACAAGAGTTCGGGGAGACGTCAATCCTGAGGTCTGTTCCAACCGTTCGCCAACGCCGCCTCCAAGCGACGCCCGAATTGGCGACTCCCCAAGCAAACCTTGGCGTCGAGATCCCTGCAAGCCTGGTTTCAAGGGCGCACGCGCACGCTCGTCCTCGGAGTCGTCTGACATGCCCACTGCCGGATCAGGAGGCGTACCTCGCAGTCCACCCTCCCCTCCCTCACCTTCACCAAAACTGTCTCCTCGCGCGAACCCAACAGGACGACGTATGGATGTCCCAGGGTCGACGTCCATGCCACTGCCAGGGATAACTGAAGCCGCATAACCTTGAGGAAGTCTTTCGTGTGAACGACTTCGTCGTGGCCTGGCGACAAAGGGACAAAGAACGGTAAAGCCATCGCACCCGCGTCGTACCCCCCGAACTTCTTCCCACCAACCATGCATCCTTTTGCGAGTTTGTCGACGGAACCATCACTTCTGTAAAGCTTCCGCAAGGTAAACTTTAAAATGTCGCTGCCTTCGTCGGCGTACTCGACGACGGACCCTGCGAGACGCGTCGTATCACCGTGACCGACGACGAACAATACTGGCCCGCATCGTCCTGTTGTCGGGATGGAGGCGTCCTGGCATGCCCAGTCCAAATACCAGACACGATTGCTATAGTCGCACCACAAGTTTTTGGCCCCTTTTTGTTCCTCTCCACCGACACCACCCCGACTCGTCGGCATGACTGGTGTCGACGTCATCCTTCGAGGCTCCTCCCCATGCGGGACGGAACCACCAGCGGAGTGGGTTCCTCCGTGAGCAGCCTTCCCCTGAAACACGCGAAGCAAGCGGGAACACATCCACTCAGGGCACTCAGCATACACAAGACGGAGTGATCGAAAACTCGAGCACGTCCTAACATCAGCGTCGACCCAGAGCACCTTCGAAGAACACCACCCAACAGCACCATAAAATCGAGAAGTGCAGTGATGATTCGATGTCAATGGACCACTTGCCTGATCACAACGGAGGGGAACTGCCAGCTTCGGATGAATCCGAAACATGGAAAAGGAAAGAAATCACCAGAGAGAAAGTCCAGGAAATTTATTTCGTCATCATCAAACTTCCCTGAAGAAAATGTAAGGTTGCACACGAACACAAATCGTCGGAGGAACGTTCTCCCGGCTGTTTGACGGCGCAAAGGCACAATGGCAAGACCCGAGACTTCCAGAGGATATTTTGTCCATGCTAGAAATCTACAATCATATCGATCCATTCAGAACGACGCACGATTGTTCCGGAACCAGAGTCACGGCAGAAGGACGCCGTGGTGAGGTCCGGATGCATCCGTGATCGACAGAGGCATGCAATGGCAGGGCGGAATTACGTAAGCGGATTGACAAATGGATGATTCAGATGGATCCGAACCTGACAGCGAAGAAAGTGCGACGTTGATGGAGCGGAGGCAAGTGTTTTACCCCAGTGTGGTTCGAATTCATCCGAACTTCGCAAGGGGAAGGACATCCTCACCCGTGTGCTTCGGATTCATCCGAAATTCTTTTTGGTGTGTTCCCGGGGCCGATATTTACCGTGGGGTGCTAAACGGGGATCACAAACTTTTCGTGCTTCGTGACCTCGACTCGCAGTGAGAGAGAGAGAGCGATTTATTGCGGGTCAACCCGAGGCGGGGGTGTGCCCCTGCTGTGCACGGATGCTTCAACGACTTTTCTTTCCAAAAACGTATAAACGATACGCAAGAAAACTTAAGGCAGAAGCTCTAATCGAGGGAAGGTTCGGATACATCCGAACACCTGAACTTACCTGAGGGGCAAGGTCGACGCCGTATATGGTCGGTTAATAATATCTGCCGGTGTCGGGCGGAGTAAGACCGCGTCTAGGGGTCCCAAGAACGTTGATGAAAAGAGGCAGATGTGTAGCCCCGTTGTGGTCCGGATTCATCCGAACTTGAGAAACGGAAGGTCGGCTTCGGCGGGGTGGTTTGAAGCGTACGGATTCCAAAGCGGTGTGAACGGATCCATCCTAATTGCGGGGAAATGAAGCCGCGCTGTGGTTCGGATCAATCCGAGGTAGTTGTGTGACTCTATTGTGCTCGTACCCTTCAGTGTCCATTTATTCGCGTAGACACATTATCTGCAGGCAGAAAAGCCCATGTCGGAAGAGAATCCACGGAAGCTGTGGACGCTTCCGAACTTGGAAGAGGGGCAACGTCGGCGTTGTGTTTCCACCTGAGTGGGGTGTGCAAGATTGCATTGTGGTTCCCCCGACTGCTGGTGGACCCGTGCAAGATATGTGTTCTCGGTTTGGTGCCCGGTCTCTCCTACTGCAGAGTTCGGATGTATACGAGCAACAGGGACGACGCAACCGCCGTGTGCAGTTCGCATCAATCCGAAACACAGCCCGGGAACATCGACACCTCGGATGGATGGTATGGGGACAACAGATGATGGCGTCCTACCACCGGGTTTCAGGTTCGGATCAATCCGAAGCACGTCGGCGATTGCCGAATTCATCCGTGCCACACCGACGTGCTTCGGTGTGGTTGGGATAAATACCATCATCGCCGATGTGATTCGGATTAATCCGAACCTGATACCCGGGAACGGTCGACATGGTTTGGTTCGGGGGGCCTCCCACTGCAAAGTTTGGATGCATCCGGTCCACACTCGCAGGTACGACGACACCGACGTGTGACGTTTGGCTGAATCCAAAGTACAACGCGGTAAAAACGACAACTCGGAAGGCTGGTGTGGCGACAGCAGACCAAGGTGTCCTTCACCCGGTCTCGAGTTCGGATTAATCCGAAGCACGTCGGCGATCATCTGAAACCCGATAATCACCGATATGCGTCGGATTAATCCGAACCTGAAACCAGGGGGTGGTCGACATGGTTTGTTGGCGCCATGGCGGACATCCGAGTTGCCGTTATTCCCCGGCGGTGGTTCGGATTCATCCGAACTTTAGACGACATTGTCATCATCCTTCTGAGTTGCAGACGGGTTTGGCTCGGATGCATCCAAATTTGACACGGGTGGCCGAATGCGTTCGACCACTTGAGGATGGTGTCGACACGGTATTTTTTCGACGTTCCAGTTGAATCGACAGCGGTTCGTCAACAAGACCCTTTGAGCGCCGGATCAATCCGATTTTGACAGCGTGTGTTGCAAATGTTCTTTTGCTGCCATTCGGGTGGACCCAAACCGACGATATGCACGCAGTTTTCGATTGGATGTTTTCGTATTGATTGGCGTCTCCGTTGATTGGTTGGTTTGTTGTCCACTCGTGCATTCGACTGCCCTTCGCGCCAGGGACCTAGACGAGTGCAGGGTCGTGCGCTTTTGGCCTTGAAACCCTAGCTTGCGTTGATCTGAACACGCCAGAACGGACAGATTCTTGCCTTCTTGACATACATGAGTTGCTGGCCTCTCCCCTGGCCACGTGAGCGAAGAGTTCAACTCATTGACTCGCGACGATTGGCTGACGGGTGGTTCGATAGGGTTCGATGAACGTGTCATGTGACAGGACGGACCATTGGTGGTCACGCACGTGTCAGCGACATTGGGGAGCAAACATGAGACTTCAACTGTTCGAGACACAAGGAAAACAATCGTCCATGTGCTGGAGTCCATTGAAACACCCCGATCACGATCATAAACGACAACGTGATGACAAAGAGAAGATTACATCGCCACGTGTCGACTCCTTAGATGGGAAACACAACGTTCGATCCCCGTGTGCGGAAATGGTGCACACTGACGTGCGCTGCGGAAAAACCAGGAAAAGATGTGCAAACAGGAAACGGACAAACGAGAATGTTAAACAAAAATAACGGACGGAGGACACGAATGACCAGATCGACGAGACACACGTATAAATTCTAGAGAGCAATCCGTGCGAAAGGAACGACAAAATCTGCCAACATTAAGATCACGCTGGGAGCGCGTTGTGAAACAGGGGGATCCGGTTCTCTGGCATCTTTTCGTGTTTGCCATTCGCTTTCTTCGTCTTTCCGGATCTTCATTGTCATTCGCCTTCCTCGTCTTATCGGTTCGTCCATCCTCTTTCTGTCCGCTTTGTTTCTTTCTTTTTGCTTCTCTAAACACAATTTTTCTGGTTTGTCTCCTGACATTGTTTGTCTTCTTCTTTTTGGCATGCCTTTGCAATCGTGTTATTCTTCCGTCTTCGTCTTCGTCGGTCGTGTTTTTTTTACGTGCGTCCACTTCGTTCTTCTTTTGCGTGCATCTTATTCGTTGTATTTAGTGTCCGCCTTGACCACACGCCCCGATCAGACGGGCCGATCAAATGCCCCTGCACACACCACGATCAATCCTGCTTACGGAGAAAAATTCCCGATTCTGTCACACGTCCCGGATCGTTGAAGACCTGTTGACCCGACCGAATGCCCGCCTCGCACGTCCCGATAACACGTCATAAACATGTGTGGTCACGTTCAAGAATGTTGGGCTCTACGTGACCACCGGATGGCAAACCTGCTTACGTTGAGAGAGAGAGAGAGAGAGAGAGAGAGAGAGAGAGAGAGAGAGAGAGAGAGAGAGAATCAGTCAATCGATCAATCAATCGATCAAACCAATGGAGATCCGCGGATCTTGGTCGGTTTGGTTGATTGATTAATTGATTGATTGATTGATCGACTTATTGATTGATTGATTTATTGATTGATTGTGTGTGTGTGTGTGCGCACGTGTGTGTGTTTGTGTGTGTGTGTGAGAGAGAAACAGAGAGGGAGAGAGAGAGATAGAGATAGAGATAGAGATGAAATCAATCAATCATTCAATCAATCAGACCAATCAAGATACGTGGATCTTGATCGCCCTGATTGAATGATTGACTGATTGCTTGATTGCTCGATTGATTGTGTGTGTGTGTGTGTGTGTGTGTGTGTGTGTGTGTGTGTGTGTGTGAGAGAGAGAGAGAGAGAGAGAGAGATGACACTGGGAGAGAGAGGCGGCAGGAGAGAGAGAGAGAGAGAGAGGGAGAGATAACGCACCTTTTTCGTCATTGGATTAGAAGCGCTGCGGGCTGACGACGGCGTCGACGACGTGGGTGATGGTAGCGACGCAGAAAATGACGGTGCGGGTCGCGACGTAGGATACGACGACACGGAGGATGGCGACGACGGATATGGCGAGAAGAGGAATGTGGCGACGTGGGAAATGGCCACGCGGGAGACAGCGACGTGGGAGATGGCGACACGGGATATGGTGACTCGGGAGATGGCCACCCGGGAATGGCGATACGAGAGATGGTGAGGCAAGGGATATGGCGAAGGCAAGCAGGACATGCAAAGTGGTATGACTGGCGACGCGATGGTTATGGCGACAGCAAAGGCGGAAGGTGCTGGCGTGAGACTGGTTGGCGACACCTACAATTGTCTGCGCTGAGGGTACCTACAATTGCCTGCGTTGTGGTGCAAATTCGTGGGATGGCTTTGGCGTCATTCGAATGGCGGATGCATCCGTGTGGGCCGCAAAAAGTAGGGTGGGCGGGAAAATTTCCTCCAGCGGGTTCATGGGAGCTGTCGATTTAGCACGATCGGGTGGTTCGTACAGAGCCTCAAAAAATTACGGCCCGCCCTCCGGCAACGGGTCCGGAAAGTGGGATTTCGAGACGGGACGGTTTTCAGGACCTGCGTGTGCCTGCGGCTGCATCCCTGCGGGCCCCGAAAAAGAAAAAGGGTGGGCGGGAAAGTTTTCGCCAGCTGGTATATAGCAGCCGTCGATCGAGCGCGATCGGGCGGTTGCAACTAACCAGGCCTCTCAATTACGGCCCGCCCTCCCGCAACGGTTACGTAAAGGGCCCATCTGACGACAGAGCTCCCGACGCAACTCTCCGCCGGGACAAACCTTGCGCCGCCTGTGACAAACGTGTCAGTTGGCAGCATGAATCGGACCGGGGTGTTGTCGACCCTGTTCGCTGGTGTCATTTGCTCCAAGCTTTACCGCAGCGACTCGTCCGCCATCGCTAGAAGACGCCAACCGTCATATCGCAGGCCACAAGAGCTTTGAGGGTGTCGTTGTTCCGTGCCATCGTTGACAACCCGGGGCGCTTACGTAAACGCCACGTGACGCGCCACCTTGTGTGTGAACGCGTTTGCTATGGCCTCTTCGCACATGCGTTTGAGGATTTTATCGGCTCGCATGTCA